CCCCTCCCCCCCCCCACACAGTCTGGCACCTGAGGCAGTCGCCTCAGTTTGCCTCATGGTAAGGCCAGCCCTGAATGCCTAAAAGGACTTTGTAACAGGGCCCGCCTTACAGAGCCTCTCCTCCCCGCTCCGGCTAGGCCCTGTTATGCTTTTCAGTTCTCTTCCCCATTTTTCCCAAGTGTCCACATCCCCAGGATGGGTTAGAGTTCATCCCCAGTCCAACAACAATCCCCAGGGAGTTGCCACTCATCGTCACCCAGGGTCTCCGGCTTGATAGTGTGGGTGCCCTCCGCTTCCTGGTGTCCCCCTCGTGGCTGAGGAACCTGTCAGGGAGAGGACAACCCACTACGCCAGCCAGTGCTTGCCGTCTGCCCTGTCCCCATCTTGGGACTGGCTGGGCTCCTTTTAAACTTCCCCTGCTTCAGAGGCAGCATCTGGGGACACGTCACTTGCGCCGTGTCCCCCAGCCCACCTCTCTGCAGGGTCTTAAGGCCACCGCCAAAGGGGGCCGATAGCACGCGGGCACCACCAGTCTGGTGCGGACCGGTGTATCTGAGCCAGCGCGGGCCCCTTCCCCCCCCATGCTAATGAAGCGTGAGATATTTAAATCCCCGCTACATTTACTATTTCGGTTGCCTGCATATGCATCTCTAGTTTGAACTAGGGTGCAAGTGTAGACGTACCCTCAGTCATTAGTTGGCCAGACTTTACATGTTCTTTTAATTTTTCCTAAATCAATCCTTCCAGACTCTGATCTTTACTTTTTTTGTTACTATTATCTGAATGCCTTCCAGTTTGTCTATTGTTTTCAAGTAACCCTAAACCCACATCTGAGTGCCAATTCATCATTGACTTGAGTCACTGTTACCTTTGTTCTCTGTGAAGCAATGTTTTGTAGATGTAACCTCTCTTGCATTACCATTTTTGTCAGCTTATTGCATTGCAAACTCATGTCTGATTTGCTGTCCTCAATCACCCCATCATTTTATGGATCATTAATTCTCATGTCAAACGAGGCTGGATGCCAATCACTACCATACTCCAGCAAATACCTCCCCATTCGTGGTTCTGTATTCTCTAGATGGTTAATATGATTTCACCTTCTCTTTCTTTTTTTGGCATCAAAGTTAGATTTAAGATACGTTAAGTGCCAGGATCTAAATTAAAAACAAACAAACAAACAAAACCCACTTGTTACTTTTAATTTTTCCTTTGAAGGGTGTAAGTGTAGGGAGGAATAATTTAGTGGGGTGAATAGGGAAAATAACTAGGAGTAACTGGATAAAATTTTAAAAATAAAACACTATCACATCAAACATATGCTTTTGTATCCACTTTCAAAGCCTAATCAGTCCCCATCATACTCTCAACCTCTCATTTTCTATCAAGCTGTCAGTGCTCATCTTCGATTAGCCCATGAAGTCAGCCTCCTCTACCCAAACAAAACACTTCGTATTTTCTCCCATGCTGTGATGTCTATAAAAAACTTTATATTGGTTAGGTTGCTGGTGTGGTGAGGTTTATTACCTATCATGCCGAACAGTATTGTCTCGTTTCCTTGTACTCCAACATCATCCTTTATCTATTTATTGTCCCTTGTTTTACACTTAAATTGTAAGTCCCTTTGGGCAGGTTCTTTGTATTCTTATTTTTGTGCATTATCCCATCGCTTATTCTGGAAACGTAATGTATTCAGAGATGGCTTCAGCAATGAACTCAGTTTTGAAGTTACATTCAGTGCTATTTTTTAATGGGCAGCAGGACTGTTCAGGGGGGAAAAAGCATTCTTTCCTACAAATTATCCTAAGAATTCCCTTCTTACCTTGATTAATACCAACATCATCATCTGCAGTACTTCTAGCACCAAGCTTTCTATTAGCTGCATAGACTTTTACCAGGGTTTTTTTAAATCCCAGCAGTCTCTCTTGCTATCTTTTCCCTTGCCTTTTCAACATGCTTCATGTGAGCCATCAGATCTTCCTATTTAGTGACTGTTATAAAAGGCTTACACTACAGGGTAAGGCTCCTACTTTGTTTTCAGGTCCTTATTTTCCAGGTGTCTTTAGCTGTTTTCCATTCCAGTATTTGCTTATCTGATGGATACTCACTTCATGCTGGCACAGTGGCTGGTGAAGTGGGGTGCTTCATTGTCTATGCTGAATGGAGCAGCAGCATAGTGGTCTCTACCACGTCATAGTAACCATGCCTGCAGTCCTAGTATTTAGGCTTTCCCTTAGTTCCAGCTGATGAAAGCCTTGTGGAATACTGTATTTTGGGGAATGACTTCCCCAGCATACCATGGACCCATGTCTTTGAGCAAGTGTTCGCATTCTAATTACTGTTGTCTTTCTTCTGTCTCTTGGCTTTATTCTCTTGGAACAGGGAATAATCCCACTTTAAGCCATTCCTGTTTGGTTTGTTTTTATATAACACAGGCTTATATAATACAATTGAGACCAAATACATAT